GAAGGCTTTTTTGAAGTCAAGATGTATGACATCAATCTCTTCTCTCTTGTCCAGGTGATAGGTCACCTGGTCGTAGAAGGAAATGAGATTGGTCAAGCAAGACCTACCCGCAACAAACCCGTGCTGGCTATCCCTTAGGATGTTGGCGTCAGCCAATCCATTAAGGATGGCCTCTTTAATAAACTTTTCTAAGACCTTCCCTGGGATAGAAGTCAGGCTGATGGGCCTATAGTTAGCCGGATCCACTTTCCTCCCTTTCTTGAAGGTAGGCCCCACATTGGCCTTCTTCCAGTCTTCGGGCACTACACCAGAGCACCAGGAGTTTTCAAAGATCTGTGCCAGGGGCTGCGCTATGGTGCTGGCTAGCTCCTTGAGTACCCTGGGGTGTAGGTTGTCAGGGCCGGCTGACTTGAAGGTATCCAGCTTCTCAAGATGTTCCTTCACCAGGTCAGCATTTATGGAGGGCAGGGGATCTCCCTCACCCGGACCTCCCTGTCCCGTAGCGAAAGTCATAATGGCCAACTTTCTCATCACCCTTGGGTGCATCGTGTCTGGCCTCATAAACTTGTACACCTCCAGCATTTCTAAACAGTCTCTAACCTGTTCTTTCACCACTGTTGGCTGCTTACCTTCTTCCCAAACTGCTGCCAGGTGCAGTAGCATGAGAACTGCCCTTGTTCATGGAGAATGACATGAAAAAGGCATTGAATGCTTGAGTCTTTCCCGCATCATCTGTCGCTAAATTGCTGCCCCCATTCAGTAGGAGACCCACACTTTCCTTAATCTTTGTCTTTTTGCTGACAGGCTTGTAGAAACCCTTGTTATTACCCTTCGTGTCCCTTGCTAGCTGCAGTTCCAGTTGCACTTTGGCCTTCCTGACTTCCTCTCTGCGTGCCTGAGCAGTACTCGTACACCTCCCTAGTTGTTTGTCCAAGTTTCCGCTTCTTGTTAGCTTCCTTTTTTTCTGTTGTAGTTCACTGAAGAGTTTCGTGGTAAACCCATCTGGTTTTCTGCTGTACTTGCTAGTCTTCCTGCACATAGAGATGGCTCATTTTTGTGCCCTCAGTAAGGTTTCTGTAAAATACGACTAGCTTTCCTGGACTTCTATCATCCTCAGACTGGCCTCCCAGGGGATCCTGTCCATCAGTTCCCTGAGTGAGTCAAAGTCTGCTTTTCTGAAATCTAGGGTCCTTACTTTGCTCCTCTCTTTTCTACCTTTCCTCAGGATCCTGAACTCAATCATCTCATGGTCACTGTTGCCCAGGTTGCCATCTACTACTACATTTCCCACGAGTTCTTCCATTTGTGAGCAGGAGGTCAAGAAGAGCATGGCCTCTAGTTTGTCTTTCCATACCAGCACCAGGAGCTGTCCCCAACACTTTCCTAAAACTTCTTGGATTGCCTGCGCACTGTTGTATTGACCCCGCAGCAGATGCCAGGATGATTGAAGTCCCCCGTGGAAATCAAGGCCTGTGGTCAGGAAACTTTCGCTCGCTGTTTGCTGAAAGCCTCATCCACCTTGTTGCCCTGGTCTGGTGGTCTGTAACATACACCCACCAGAACAACACCCATGTTGCTCTCCCCACTGACCCTAATCCAGAGACTCAACAGGCCTGTCTCCAGTTTCATACTGGAGCTCTGAGCCATCACACAAGTCTTTAATATAAAGCACACTCCTTTTCTTTTCCTCTGCCTGTCCTTCCTGAACAGCTTATACCCACCTATGATAGTGCTGTAGTCATGCGAGCTCCCACCAAGGCTCTGTTATTTCAATTATATCATCGGTCTGTGACCACAAGGACTTTCAATTCTTCCTGCTTGTTTCTCAGGCTCTGTGCATTTGTGTACAGACACCTGATGTAGCTAGTGGATTACATTAAGACCAGATTTTTTACTATCCATTAATTATTAATTACTGTTCCCAGGCCTGTCTTCTAGAGGTGTTTTGTAGGCACCATTTGAGCAGGAGGATTGTAAGGACCAAGAGGGAGTGATTGTTCTGGGAAAAATGTGTTCCTACTGGTATTTGTTGATCTTTGTCTTTATTTAATAAAGTAAAGTATCTTAGTCATCTTACAGAATGAAATGAATTGGTTTGGACCTCACTGTAACTGAATTTTAAAGTACTCGGGAGTGACAACATTTTCAGCATAACACCTTTGAAAGTTGCAGTCACTTTAAAAAAAAATGCCTTCTGCTTGCTTCCCTCATAGGTCAGAGATGGAGTGCCAAATATCTTTATGATAAGGACTGGTTAAACAATGGGCATATGTGTGGATTATCTTTTTTGAAAGAAAACTACTCTCACCTAAATGCCAAAAAGATTGTGTCAACGCATCACCTGTTGGCTGATGTGTATGGAGTAACTGAAATATTACATGGCTTGCAGCTGCAGATTGGGATACTCAAGTAAGTGTGGTCTCGTATTCCCCATCTTTGTACCCTTTGAGAGGTGGACATGAGTTCTGCCAGACATTTAAAATGTAGGTTATATTATAGACCTGGTAGTCAACACATATTTAACCAGTGTGCTCTTGAGAATGATGTAGCACAGCTTTACAGGGCAGATGCCAGGTTTCTCTTGAACATCTCAATGCAGAAAAGTTGATTGCTTGTCTTTTTTGACTAAGCTGTACAAAAACTGTTGGTAAATAGGAATTAAATAAACTCTTTCTTCCATTAAGCACTAAAATGTGTTTGTGTTCCTGCTATTGATTGGTGTTGATCAGTATTCATGCAAAGGAAAAATATTATGAAGAGATTACAGACTTTTTGGATGAGAAGCTTACATGTCTGTATCTGCTAAATGTAGTTTAAAAGCAAGCTTCAGTAGTTTTAAATTTTGCCATTTTGCAGTCTCTTCCACCTGGGGTTGCAAAGCACTAACAAACCATTATAATTTAATGCCCTGTGAGGCTGCAAATTACTATTCCAAATTTACAGAAGGAGCACCAAGTCATGGTTTGGTTATGATACTTGCCACAGCGCATTGTAGAGTGGTGTTACTTGCTGTATACTCTGTAGTAAGTATGGAGCAGACTCTAACTCTTCTATCCTGTACTTTTAAACAGTAGTCTTCGTGGCTCTCAATAATCTAGTGTGAGTATTATATTACAAATTAATTTAGTCTTTTCAGTGGCCTGAGTGGCTAACCTTCTTTTTGATCACATTTCCTAATTATGTTTTCAGTGTGCAGTTTACAAGATAAGGCCATATCCTCAACTTCAGTGAGAGCTGTGGGCCTGGCACCAACAGGATCAGATTTTTTTGGGATCATTGGTGTTTTTGTTGCATCTTAAAAGTCTTATTAAAGATGATGGAGTTGTGCTGGATTTTCCATGAAATAAGAAGCCTGTGAGAATGCTGCATGAAACATTTGTTTTTTAGTGAACACTGATGCCAAATGTTTTTCTATTGTTTCTTTAATTGTAACGAAACAGAAATGAGAATTTAAATGGAGTTCAGTGGTATGAGCTATTGTTGAATCCTAACTTCTTTCTTCCCCTCTTTCCAGAAATAAACATCACCCTGACCTTCATCTCTGGGCTTGTTCAGGGATGAGAAAAGAGCAAGAGCAGATATCCCTCGGAGTGGAGAAAAAAATAGTGACTTTGCCAGATACTGTTAATCCACCTGAAAGGACGTGTCAGAGTCAAAACCATAAAGAGCCCCCTAGTTTACCCCAGAAGATGGAAGAAACATATATTACAAGTGAGCACAGTTACCAAAAACCACAGAATTTTGGTCAAGACTGCAAAGCAGTTACTGACCCTGTGAGCTCAGATGATGAGGATACGAGTAGTTTTGAGGAAGATCAGGAATTCCGTTCAGAGAATAAAACCTATTTACAATATTCTTTTAAAGAAGATGGCATGAGTGATCAGGTAAAACTCATTATTCATTTCTGAAGATTCTTAGAGTTAGTGCATCATCTCTTATGCACTCTTAAATAATCTCTTAATAAAACTCAAATCTCTCTCTCAAATAAAATTCAAAATTGTAAGAAATGCCCATTTCTGAATTTTCTGCTTGTGTATATCCTATAAGTAGCCAAAAGAAATCAGAACCGCCCATTTAAATGAAGTTGGATGTATTAAAAACTTCTTTGACAAAGTAGGCAGAGGTTTAGGTTGTAATGCCAGCTATGGTGAATTTAAAGATTTAAAACAACTATAAATATATTTATAAATGTTTAACTATAAAAGTTACCTTTGTTGTCCATAGCCACATATTTTCAAGTAGCTTGTTAACACATAAGGGAATTTAGAATGGTATTTTTTCAAGCTCTTTCAAATAGCTAGAGATTTCCTAATCAAAAAGGAACAAAAACTCTTTATAGAGCTTCAAGGGAAGGAGAGAAACGTGCACTGTAGAAACGCACGTGATTGACTGGCAGCATTATGCTGTAACTGTCTTCTTAAATAATGAAATTAATATGGAATGACTGCTGCAGGTCTTGTGCAGGAGTATGAAGTGCATGCACCTGTATAAGTAGCAAAAATTGCCTTTCTGAATCATGAAAAAAAATCTATCTGGACTTTGGGGCAGAATTAAGGTATCTTGGGCAAATTCAACTGACTTTGCTGACTTTGTCACATTTATTTATTAGATGTGGAGGGAGGGACCTGCTGAGTCAAGTAGATCCTTCCTTTTTGCTATACTCCTTTACCCCTCTATAAAACAGTTCATTGGCAAATGTCAGCCTAGACCTTCCTCTGTACTCGTATTGCAGCTTTCTGTCTAGCCTCATTGTACTCTGTGCCTTGTTTCCTATGTGAGCCACTCTCCATTTATCCTGAGTTTCATTTCAGATCAGCTTTGTGTAGTTGCTTTAAGATGCTGTTTTTTAACTGTTTGAACTAACTCAAGATCAGCTGCCTTTTTTAAAGGTGTCCCTTTTCACTGCTTGAGAAATCCTTGTCTATGCCTTAGCAGTCTTACTTCTAGACTGCTGCAAACCCCTGTTGTCTGGTTGTTTAGATTCGTGTTGATATTCCTCTCCAAACAATGCTCAGATCTTGTTGTTTAGTGTTGAGTTCCTGTGCATCTCCTTAAACGTGGCGTTCTTGCTTTTTGGATCTTTAGCTAAGCTTGCCCCTTCCTATATTTTGGGATCTGGTCTCATTTTAACTTCTCAACTTGTACCTTTAGCCTCTGCATTTTAATACCACTTTTTTGCAGTTTTCTTTATCAAGTATTAATGCAATTTTTGATGTCTTGTCCTTTGAATATCCTCCCTTCTCCTGTGGCATGGTTTTCCTCAAAGTCCATATTTTGCAACTACCTTTCAAAGGCTGACCTGTGTTCTTGTGGCATATTAATAAAGGATAAATTATAAAAAAAACATACAAAAATGGGTCTAATATGACATATACTTATAAAAAAAAACAGACTTTCACTTTATTTTATATTCCCTTTTACACTCTGTAGCCTTGATAGCTTTTAAGGCTCTCAAGATGGACAGACATTTAGTTTGTTATTTACCTATGGCAGTGTGTAATTTATAAAGTTAGAAACGGATGTTTTCAGGAGTGTGCCATTGGGTCTTGAAAGTAGAGGTTTATACTTTTTGGTTTATACTTTTATATATAAACCTTTTTTTGGTTTATATATAAAGGCCTATACAAACGAAAAACAAGAGACCCAAAGAAATGATGCCAGGAGTTGAAGAAACAAAAGAAAGTCGTTTGATAGAGGGAAGAATTTTTAGTTAAAGTTAAGCTTTAGTTTATTTTTAAATCTGTTGAACTTCAGCAATTAATCACTATGCCTCTGACTCTCTTAGTTAAGGTATGTGTGCTAGCAACATGCATCTTAAAAGGTATAACCTACAGATCCTCCAGCAGAAGGAGAGAAAAACCAAACTTGACGTTTTATTTTCTATCTAAGGCTTACGAAAATCAAGCAGAGAAGAGGAACTCATCCTTCATTAAAACTAATAATGTTATTTCATGCCGCCTTTGCCAGAAACCCCACACCCCCAAAACCACACGTGCCTTTTTCAGAAGCAAAATAGTAGAGAATCCTTTTTTTAATAAAAGTTGTGTATTATCTTTAAGATAGAGCTTTTTCAAACAGGTATGACACATTTCCAGTACTGTTTGTTCCTTTCTCTGGCATCTGACTAACAACAGTACAATCAACATAGTACTTTCTTTGAGTTTAGTTTATGAAATATAAGGTGTGCTTATATTCAATGAGCTGCAGTAGATGTGTGAACATAGAGTTATAAAAATAAAATTACCTGTCTCATAGACCAAAGGGACTGTTGTCCCATTTTGCTGTCAAATTAAATATCCTGTCTTTGGTCATAGCTATTTTCTGTAGTGTCACAGGCAAGGGAAAAATAAGCATGTTAAGGGAAAAAAATCTTTTCTGAAACATTTAATTTATTTTGTGCATGATTATTTATATCACTGGTCACACAGGCCATGTTCAGAATTCAGTTTCTCCTGGGAGATTTGTTGCTATCCCAGGAGAAACCGCAAGTGCACAGTTGTTCAGGATTTTTCTCTCAGAGCAAAAATGGCTGTTGTAGGAGAAAAATAATCCTGGAACAACCAAAGTTAAATAATTTCCAGGAGAGTTTCTCCTGGGAGAGTAAATGACTGTACTCATTCTCTTTTGAGAATAAGCCCCACAGCATGATCCTCCAGCATCCCAGGGCGCTTTGCATCTGCCTCTTCCTTTCCCCCCAGGAGACAGTGTGTCGCTCACTGGACTTTGCTGCTGCAGCCAGAAAGCGAGCAGAACATGTCCCCTTCACAATCCCACAGGGACACGCAGGCTGATTCTGAGAAGTTTGGGTTGGTCAGTCAGGGCTACCTTGTGTGATGCTGCCATCTGTCTCTGGGCAGACTGAAGGAGCCCTAAGAACACGCTAAGATGTGTGCACAGGGGCCTCTTGTCTGCACAGGGTCAGCACTGCAAACTCTCTGCTCTTCAAGGGTCGAGCATTCAAATGTCTGTTCAAGTATCTCTGAATAAGTTTTTCTACCATGAAAACAAGCCTGGGAGAATTCTCCCAGATCATTTGAATGCATCTATGCAGCCAGTCTTAATTATCTGGCCCTTTTTAAAGTGTTAGCTATGTTATATAACTGATATATCCTTGTGGCAGCAAGTTACATCTGTAGGAAGAAGAAATACAATCTTAGTTTTAAATCTGCCCACCATTAAAATTTCAAATTTGAAGTAGACCAGTAAACTTTGACATTTTAGATGTTATTCCAGCTTTGTTATTCCATGACGGTATTTTCACTTCATTCTTTGGCTGCAACAAGAGCAAAACACCCTTAAATGTTTGCTTATGTTGGTAACAGTTCACTGGTACAATCAGCACTTGATGAACAAAGAGCTAGAAGTTTATACAGCAGAGTGATGAGACATAGGCCACTACTATCCTATCAAACAGAATGCAAGAATTGTTCAATGTTGTCCTCCCCCCTTCTTTTTTTTAAAAATTTTTCTTACACACTTTGTTTTCGTGGGTTTACTGAAACCCAGATTGGCCTAATTTTTTAGCAGTTTGTTTCAGTCTATCTTAAAAAGCTAAATACTATGATTATATGGGGCTTTTTGATTAAGTAGCCAGTAGTTTGATTTAAAATCACATAGTTCAAGGCATTTGCCCTAAGTATTGAAATCAGAGACAGGATTCAAATGGTAAATTTGAAAGTTAGCATTTTATTAGGTGTTAACTTTATTTCCTTGTATTTATGAAGAAGACCTCGGCTGAAGGGAATACAGTATTTGCTTGCAATGAGAAAAAAGGATCAGAAGAACAAGTGGATGCGCATCTTCAATGGCAGCTAAATCTCCTTACCCACATAGAGAATGTGCAGAATGAAGTCACCAGCAGAATGGACCTGATTGAAAAAGAAGTTGATGGTAATTGTATTAATCCAGATATTGCATAATGATTTCTTTCTTGAGTTTATATTAAAAACTTTAGACAAACTCCAAGCACTTGTTCTATTTCCCCAAGTCAGGAAAGTAACTGAAACAGTAATTGAGGCCCAGAATTTCAGATTTGGACCTGTAGTTTTGGGTGTCCGTTTTTAGACACTGATGGCCTGATTTTTTTCAAAAGGCTGAATGTCTGCAGCACCTGGTGAGACTGAGTGTGCACACAACCCCTGCACAATGTTAACTGAATTTAGAAAACTTGGGCCAATCTGAGTTGCCCAAGATCACACAGCACACGAAATATCAGGCTTCAGCTTTTTTACTGTACCTGAGAGTCAGTTCCCTTTATCTTATCAGGTAAAGCTGGTAATGTTGGCTTAGTGGTATCTGAAAGTAGTAAAGAGAAGATATGTTTCCACCTTATCTGTGTATCTGATTTACTGCCCATTGGTTTGAAAGCAGCATTAAAGTGATACAGTAGGACTAAATATTACAATAGAGGAATATTTTTCTAGAGACTTGCTTTACAAGTGATGAAGTTAAAACACAGGGTAGTTTTAAGTCTACTTAATTATTTCTTGTCTAATACAAGATAGTATTAGCACTGGTAGCAGAAGCACGGCAAGTCTGAGTGCATGTGCATTGCCTGTATTTCTAGAAAAAAGAAAAAAGTTTGCAGCAGCTGCAGCCTCCCAGGCTTGGGTACTTGGGGCCCCTCTGCAGCTGGGAGCCCTGTTAGCTTGGGAGCTCCCAGGTTCCAGGGTGCACATGGATACTCCCAGTTGGGATCTCCAATCAGTTGACAGGGCTTCCAGCCACAGTGGCCCATGACCACATGTTCATTTAATGCTGTGATAGGAGGCAACTACAAAGCTATTTTGTGGAGTAACTTTGTATCCTCTTTTCAACATGCCATTAATTGATTGTGTGGCTGGGTGACCACTTAAGGGATGATTTAACCACTTAAAGTTAATTGTGTCTTAAGAGACAATAGCCATATAAATTTGGGTTGGAAATTTGGGGCCAAATCCTAAACATGTTGAATTCACCAAGTGTCTTGGCATTAACTTAAGTGGCACTGCAGTATGGGCCTTATTCCATTTCTACAGATCCAAGCTGTTGAGGGTTACTCATTTTTTTTCCTACTGATTGCTTTCTAATTACATTCTTCTCTTCCTGGTAGTTTTAGAAAGCTGGCTTGACTTCACTGGAGAACTGGAACCACCAGATCCTCTTGCAAGACTTCCTCAGCTCAAGCGACGTATCAAACAGCTCTTAACTGACATGGGGAAAGTACAGGAGATAGCTACACTCTGCTCTGTATGACAAGAGGAAGAATAAAGGAATAAAAATAGGCTCTCTACAATGAATTTGTGTATTAGCCACCAGACTGACAGAAAGACAGGAAAAAGCTGAACATTTATCCTTTTCTGTGCCGATTTATATTATTAACCTAAAGCTCTAGAGAGGGGAGATGAAATCTAAAGTAAGAATATTGATAGTGAAGATAATTTTCTATGTCCAAGCAAATTACGGTATATCAAGCATAGACCTACATGCTCTGAAAGACTAGGCAGGTTAATGACAGATTTTTGTGGTTATACGAGAAGGTTCAAGAAATCTCTACAAAGAAAAGTGCTATAATGTATAGCAGAAAGGTCCAAATTCACAAGTGTCAGCTCACATAAAACTAAGTTGGGTGGAAAAAATATAAATTTCTGATGATTTCCTCTTACGTTGCTAGCAAAATACAAACATGGAGATTTTGTATCCCTTATATAATCGATCCATCTATCAAAATCAGGTCATAGTCAGAGAACTTATTTTTTGTAGTCCAGGCTTACTTCCTTGTCTAATGAATGTTCGGGAAAATGAAAACACTAGCTTCTTTTGGGAAAGAAAGTATTTGTGGTGGTGGTCTTATGTAAGTATTTTTAAATGGAATCCTCATTACAGCACCCATAGGCTTCTTTTAAAATGTAAGTGGCAAATAGTGGTCACATGTGCCAAATAATATTAAAACCACTGAGATGAGAGTTTGAATATAATGAAGATACATGAAGGGTTGTTTTGTGGGGTTTTCTCTTCTTTTATTTTATTTGAAAGTCCTATATGGTGCCAGCAATCCATCCAAAATTGTATCTAGCTTATATTTTTTTATGTTTTCTGGCAGTATTCAGGATTCAAAATACAATTTGTGTCCTGGGTAGCTCTGTTTGGTGTTAGCCCTCTGAAATTTTACCAACCTCAGCTGGGATGAGGAATAATGACAAGAGCAGCAAAAACTGTGTGTGGCTCTGAATAACTAAACCACTAAATATCACAAAGAGACTTTATCTGAGATGTTTTTATAAAACTTTTAGCTTCAGTTATAAATGAAAAAAGCATCATGAAACCAAAGGCAACCTAGATGCTCTGTTAGCTCTTGCTGGATTTTGAGCCAAGGACTTTCTCTGTGCCTGTGCTCTCATGAGTTGCCGCTGCACCCAGTGCTTACATTTACATGTATGTGCATGTATATGTGCATATACACACATATACCTATGTACATACTATATACCTATTTATCTACACATGTCTAGTTTTATTACAATAGACTAAAGACTGGTGGTTAACATGAAATGTTACCTTTTAACAAGCAGTTTCTAAAATTGAAAATAATGTATGTACAGGTTTTGAAATTTGTAAAATACGACTGTTAAAAGGAGGCTATTTAACTAATGACATTAAGATACTTGAACATTTTATGCCTCAGCTGTTTATCAGTTCTACTTATCTGTATAAAACGCATTTTAGAACCGATAGACAGTAAACTTGAATTTACCTTTTTGATAAGAGTACAAGCCACTGTACATTCAAAAATTATTTAAATTTGCAAACACACTGTTCTATATGTAAGGTACTGTATGTAAAACTGTTTATTAAAACTATTCTGCATATTCTACATCTTCCAATTTTCTTCCTGTCCTATATACAAATGTGAAAAAAGAAAAAGAAGCTGATTAAAATAATGTACAGACCCTCAAAACCATACCATTTCTTGAATGCCTTTTGAGGATTCATACAGGTGAAAAAAGTGCCAAAGATGGATTGTGTAGGAAAGATTTTGAAGCTGGTACATTGAACTTTCATCATAAAAATGTAAGACAGTAGCGTGGCTGAGTGATTATTGAAAAGTACCAACATTGAGGTCTCCAGATTCTGTCATGTCTGAAGTAAGTTATCACTCTAAATATCTAAAGTTTGAAGTAAACACGTCAACCCCAGTTACAGAGTAGTTGCTATTTTAAAGGTCTCTTTTACCACTGGTTACCACATCATAGTATTGGAAATATTACTACTCTTTGTGAGTGCAAAACTCAACTCAACTTTAATTATGGAGCCAGGACTGTCAACTCCATAATGTAAAGGAACCATGATGACTTTTAATGGCAACTGTTAATGTTTTTTATATAGTTTGATGCTTAAATAAGTGCTTAAGATTATAATGAATAGCTTTTGGAAGTGATCTACTTGCTTTTTCAGTGTGCCAGACATTTTTGTATATTATTCTTTTGATGCATATCCTTGAATGTGGTACTGTGTGTACTGTATAGAAGAAATGTAAATCTAGATACACCACTTGAAACCAAGTAGGTAGTATTTACATCATGAATGCAGTACACACTAGCCATGTTACTCTGTGTGTGTGAGTGCGTGCGTCTGTGTGTGTGGGCATGTGTATGCGTGCAAAATAACTATAATGAAGGAAGAGCTGGACAGAGAGATTTCGGGTAGGAGAAAGGAGGTTCTCTTCTCAGTACAATGAGCTGTAAGAATATTATCACTTAAAAATGGGATAGTTGTATGAGTTTAGGAGATGGTAATCTGGTACACTTTAACTGGAAAGATTTATGTGATCTGAAGAGAAAGAAACATACAACAAATCACCATTAAAATGTTGTTATGGTTGCAAAGTCCAACAAAAATTGAACTATTAACGTTGCTCATGCAATCTTAATTAAATCTCCTTCTACATGTTTTTGAGAGGGGTAGTTAGCTGTGTTTAATCTAACGTCAGTCAGAAGGCAAGGCAAGGTGGTACCCTTCAAAGACTAACTTGTTCAGAAAGGCTTAAGCTTTCGTAAGTGACAGCCTACTTTGCCAGTTGCTGTGAAACATACTGATGAAGTAGGCTGTTGCCTATTAAAGTGTATGCCTTTCTGAACAAGTTAGTCTTTAAGGTGCTGGCTTCCTCTGCCTTCTGCTTGTACGTTTTTGTTGTAGTCTGTCATTTACATGATTACACCCTTTACCTTGTAGGGTACCCTCTTCCCCTGTCTTCCCCACACCCCATTCACCATATATGATGGACAGAACCCACTGATTAACTGCTCAACATTTTTTTTGTGTCCACACTAAGTGTATAGTAAAACATCTCATATTTGGTACACAGAGTTCAAACCCTGTCCAAACCCTAAAGTATTACTGGCAATACTTTAACAGGTCGCTGTAGGGTCTGAATGGTTTACAGGCTTTAATTTTCACCACAGTTGTGGTTTAATTGATATTAATTACATTCATCCTCCTTGTCCAAATGTGTTTTAGGCCTTAATCTCTGTTACTCAAATGCCCGGTGTTTGAGATGCTTGGGAGCTGGCACTTTTTCAGGTCATGTAGCATTTTTATAACACTTTGATGTTAGTACTATGCATTGAACATAGTTGCAGTTCAAATTGCTCAGCACTTCGGTTGGGTCCCTGGAGAAGGAAGCGCATGCTTAGTTGGCTACCTGTGAAAATGTTGGGTTCTGTGAAAGAATTCATGTGGTAGAGTAAGGAACTCTGGCTCTCCAGCAGACATTCGTCAGTCTTAATCCTGAAACTGTCCTTTTTCTTCTCAGAAGCCCTTGCCTCATTTGCCACGTAGCTTCCAACTTTCTCAACAAATGAGGCAGGGATCTTACAGATCATAACCATGTTTTGAACACCACTGATTCCAAGAGCATCATTTAGGAGTGCTGGGGAGAATAATATGTGATGATGGAATAACGGCTGTCATTATGCATATGTATACAGAGGCCAAATTCAGCGTTCTTAGACTAATTTAATTTTGACACTTCCCAACTCCTGAGTGTTTGACTTTGCAGCTTTTCTGGAATGCGATATGTTGTGTAACTTCTTAAAGCCAGCTGAAAAAATAGGCTTTCCATCCAACAGAGCCATATTGTGATGGCTAATGACTAATTAGCCATGTAGTGAAACGTTTAGATCCACAGCATAGATAGTTACCAGTTGAGCTGTGGAGTCACTGGTAGCAATAGTTGGCTGTTATCCTCTTTGGGTTAGTCATGCAGAGAATGAGACACACTTTGTAAGTGGGTTTCTTATGTATGTGCTAAAGACTTCATAGAGTAGTAGGATTTGGGAATCCTCCTCCTTCTCCCTACCGCCTGCCTCTAACCTCAAAACATCTAAAAAAAACAATATGCTTTTTTTCCCTATAACCTCATGGGGGGTTAAATTCTAATTAAACTCTTTCTACTGAAACTTGAATACCTAGAAAAAGTGATGAGAGAGCCTGGGCCTGGAAAATTGCAGCTGAACTGTTTCACAAAGTTGTAAGCAACTGAAAACAGGGGTTTTTATCATGGAAAATGTGCTGAAGGGTGTCAGGTAATAAACTCTCATTCTTTACTTATCCTACCATTGCACACAATGTGTAAGAGTACTTGCCTTTGCAGTGTGGCTCTCCAAATGTAGAACCTATTTCTTCCCTCCTTTTACTCCTCATGAAATCTTTCAGTCCATGAATTTTAGAATGCTTATTAAAGACAAAGGGCTTTCATATTTTCTGATCGACTGTTGCTAGCCCTATACTTTATTATGTATATTTTTCATTTGTATTGGGTCATGGATGTTTTTTGTTACAATGATTTCATATTGTTTTTTATCATGCTATGTGATGTCCTTAGCACTGGGTGTGGGGTCCATCTTTAGCAATAAGTATTATACACTGTGTGTATATTTGTTATGTGCAGAATAGGAGAGGAGCATTTGACGATGGTGAAAATACACTTGAACAAAAAGCAGTGTTGATTGGGCAGCTATTCTGTACCAGCCTGGGCAACTCAGAACTACTGGAAAAGAATTGAAGTGCGCATCCAGGAAACAAAACAATTTGTAAAAGACAAAATATGAACTTCCAAAACATGCTATTTAATCTGGACAGTTTGCACGTGCACTGGGGGCTCTGTCACCTGGAGATGAGCTAACATGGTTTTCTGTGGGTTTGTTGAGAAACTAAAATCCAGTTCAATCGCTTAATTGCCTTTGAATGGCTATTCAGCTTTGGGACCTGCTCGTGACTGTTTCCATGCAGTTATTCAACCTAGCTGTGTGTGTCAGTGTATTGTCATTAGAAGGTTGGAGAGAGTCAGCACTGAATTGTTAAATCTTCCCTGAGAGAAGAAAGGTATTTTCTTTCATGACTTTGTTTTATAATAGCAATAATGTTGGTTATGTTCTAATATACTCACAATAAAGGCCTATTGAGATTGGTTAAATGCCTGGGCTTCCTTTTGATAAACTATTAGTTTCAACAAGGTGCTTTTTGAGAACCATCGTTTTATTACAAATAGTGTGTTGACTGATTTTTGTATAGGATTTTTGATGACTGTCTAGGATAGCATACAACTTTAAGGCATAGTACTTAGAACATTTTTCTGCTGCTCAACTATTATTGATATTACTTTTTTAATGTACATGTTTTATTGTGCTGTCCAATGTGTTGAGGTGTTTTGTCTTTCAAAAGCTGTGCACAGATGATGTTCGCTGTGTTTGGACATATCTCCTTCAACTGATTTTTGTTATCCTTTTAGTGTTGCTACACAATAACTGACATTTGCTATTGTTAATTATCTGTATTGCAGTGGTACCTAAAGACCCAGATCCAGTCCCATTGTAATAGACATGGTACAAAGACAGTCCCTGCTTCACATAACAGATCAGCTAAGATATAGATGATATGCAACAGGTGAAGAAATGACTAAGTAAGTAGTTAAAGGAAGAGGAAGGGTCAAATGACATTTGCTAGGTACTGAGTAGTGAATATTAACTATGTCACTGCTAAATTTCCTAGTAGTAGGAAGATAGCACTGAAATTCATCCTTTTCTTCAGAGAAGTAATAAGCATTATATTAAATGTTAATACTGGTGGGATTCTCCATTTTGAAACTTGTGACAAATGTAACTAGGGCTTCTTGAGATTGTTGAATGACAGTTGTCCCCAAATAATGTAGAATTCCTAAATTGAACCCATCATTAATAGCAGCTGTATGAAATGAGAAGTTGTAGCTCTTCTGGCCAATATTCTGTCTGCTTCTCATGGCTGCAGTGTGTATGGTGGCTCTTCTACCTTGGAATTTCAGTGTTTAAGATGCTTCAAACCTTGTTCATACAAACCAGTAGCAGTGAACTTGGCTAAGAAGTCCTACACACCAGGGAGCAAGCTATGCCTTTACTTTTCTTCTGCTCCAGGGGGGGAAAAAAGCGGTATTGGGATGTGGGCAAGGGGAAATCTGACATCTGTATTCAGGAATGAATGCAACAAGTTACCAAAACATTGCTAAAAGAAAGGATCAATGGGATATGCAATGGGCTAAAGAGACTGCCTGAATACTTGCAGCAGGGGTCAGCAACCTACAGCTCCCAGCCCGGATCTGGCCTGCAAAGAGGTTGGATCTGGCTCAAGAAAGTCTGAGCCGACCTGGTTGGTACGGGGGTTTTAGGTGGCATGCAGCTGCACCAAGCCATTTCTCCTCTTTATAGCACCTTCTTCAGTAGGCCTCTCTGCTGTGCTCCCTGCTCATGCTTACCTTAGCTGTAGAGGAGCCAGATATTGCAGCAAGAATAAGGTCAGGCAGTTTGAGATCTCTTTGGGGTGGAAGGGGGGAGGCAAGAAGGACAGGGCAGGGCATCCCATATCAAGGACGTGGTCACAAGCTCCAACCCCTGCCTTATAGTTGTTGCTCAAGGTTAGAGCACTTGGCAAAAAACCTATTCAACTTTTTTCTAATACTTCCTTTCAGTCAGAGTTGTCAGATGTAAAATATATTTGCAGCCAAATTGAGACCTCAGTGTAAGTAGCTGCACTGTTTTGGTTTTTTTCATGTACGGAATTGCATTTTTTTTTTTTTTTTTTACTGTCTTAATCAGCGTGTTGCTGTAGTCTCACTCCCAATCCAGTGGATTATTTTTTTCTTTGCCTGTTCAGTGGTGGGCATGGATTAAAATACAGGTTTTTATATCAGCCTCAACAATATCTAAAATATACCTACAGCTGAAACCTGGAAAACTGTACAAGGTCTCCAAATGGATACACAAGATGAAAGCCATTCTACCAGACCAAAATACTCTCCATATTGCTCTACAAAGTAGTAGGCTTAAATACTGACATGGATGTTCTGTATCCACAGCACTGAAGCCTCCGTGCACCCAACAGGAAACTAGAATGAGCACGAAATTACAGCAAACAAATTCTCAGCGTTGCATCTTCACTTCTAGGCAGTCTGGAAAGGGTGTAATGCAGGGGTGGGCAATTATTTCGGGCGGAGGGCCGCTTACTGAGTTTTGGCAAGCCATCAAGGGCCACATGACAGGCAGCCAGGGGCAGATAAATATTAATTTTCTAAATTTTTCAGGGGCCCCACGAGCTGGATAGAATGGCCTGGCAGGCTGCCTTGTGCCCACTGCTGGTGTAACGTCTAAGTAATGAAATGACACACATTAGTACTTTCTAGTGAGGCTGTTTTATTTCATTGCTGTTGCATTTTTCTAATTGCATGATTTTTCAATTTAGCTAGGGTTATTCATTTTCAAAATAAAACATCGATTAAAAAATGTGAGGGGGGGAAAAAGTTCTGAGAGAAATAGACAACTATCTCATCCAGAATCTAAGTATCTACATTGCATGTAAGATAACAGGGTTCAGCTTCCCTTTCTGTAAGACTTGCACACGTGCTTGTTGGCATTCTAATTAGAACACATTGGACCAGATTTGATTAATTGAGTTTGCTCCGGGTTCTAATTAGACCCTTGCAGCATCGCTGGTGTTGCCTGCATTAAGCCCCTGCATGTTTTAAAATGGCCACGGGGCACTTTGTCTAAACCTTGTCCAATGAGGTTTAAAGTTGAAATGCTTTAAATTAAGCATACCACAGCCATTTTTAAATCTGTGGGGGCTTAATGCACATGACTGCAGTGTTTTAATTAGAGTGGCTGCCCAGAAACCACTGCTTTAATTAAAATATCCTGTCCCCCACCACCTGTGCACACATGTAAGCTCTCCATTCCATGATAAATATCTTTGATCTAACAAATTCAGAAAGCAGCAACACCTTTTACAAAGTGGCCACTGTGTAGGTATTGCTTGGCAATGTTTGGTGTTACAAAGTCAGATAGTTTTGTCTGGTTCACCCTGTAGACTTCCATTTTGTTTGACACATACTGGCCCAAATCTGAGCAACATTTGAGTGGAAGTCACCTATGTATAGTCAGACACTTCAGGCATTTTTTCATCGGGGGGAAGGAATTTTTGCATGCAAACCCCATCACTACTTTGCAAATAGGTGTTTCTATAAAGTATAAGTTAAAGTGTGAGCAAAGTGTGTGCAGCGCCAACACGTGAAGGCTTGAGGCTGCACAGAAACTGAGATTTATTTATCTCAAAGGTTTTGTGGCTTCAGTAAATCATTTTATCAATGTGCCTAGCTTGTTCCTCTTCCTATCACTCCAGTAACAACTGCTCAACTTTATATAGTCTCTAGATCAGAGATTCTCAGCCAGGGTGCATTGAGATCCTTTCAAGGGTGTTGCAAGGTGCCACACAATGTTAGGATTGTTAGATGTGCACAGAAATGCCGTGACTTTCTCAAGGTCATATCAAAAGTGGTGGAAATAGAAGGCAGACATTAGAAGAGAACTCCAGCATCTTGTTTCTCATTTAACTTGTATCATAGGTCCTTCAGACAATTTCCTGCTGGGTCTTGTTTTGCCGGGCACCGCATAGACACAACATAGGAGTCAGTTCCTATGCAGAAGAGCTCGCAATATAGGTGGACAAGCCAGACTGAGAGGAGGTTTAGTTTCTGCCTCCAGACTGCTCTACTTGAGTAAATGCATTTAACACCACGACTGATGCAGTTCTAAACTGACCCTGAAGCTGTTTTGTGTGGGCACAGAGAAATGTGAGGGAGTCAGATAACTTTCAGAGGGTAGAAAAAGCATTATTCTTTGCTTTGGAGCACTGATTATGTGTTGAGTATATCTGTATCTTTCTATAGTTAGAGAGGTATTTGGATATATCTATATTTAGATATATCTGTAGATATACCTATATATGTATTTGAGTATATTTTGCTTTAGATTAAATAAAGCTCAAGAAGTGAGCACTTCAGGAAAATGACATGGGCGTGTTCACTCCTCAAGGTACATACCTTTTAGGACTTGAAAGTGTAGCACCCTCCATTCACTCAGCCCTATTGAGTTCGTAAATTGGTTTGGGTGTTCACAGTACTTAGCAGGTAAGCTCTGTGCAATGACATTTTGGATTTAGTCCATTTGTGTGTTGGTTTAATTGAGCCCTCCAGCCTCCTCTTTTGCAGGCTGGCAGTCTTGACCTGTTTGTTCTCCTTTCGGGTGACTGGATGTCCTATTGCCTCCTGGGAAATACTTGGAGCTTGCTGACGAAATGCACCAGGGCCGTTCCAGGCAAATGGGTTTCTTAGAAGCAGAGCATGCGTCATCCACCCAATTTAGTGGGCAGTCTACCAGCTCATAAGTGAAGATGTCCAAACAATGGCTCTATAAAAGGCTGGGGGAGACTAGCCCAGAGCTGTGCAGGGTCTTACCCCTTCAGCTAAGGCAGGGGTTATAGCTCCTGCATCACAAGATGGGCCCTGTCCTTCTTAGTCCCCTTCTCTGCTTAATCAGCATAGCAGCAGCTGATATTTTTGGTAAGTTTATCCATTCTTTCCTTTGATTTGTATCAGCCTGTCGCCACACTGCTCTGACCTTTGCATTGATACTTCACTGCCTAGCAGGTGCATTATGGCATTACCTTGAGGCTCAAAGGAGATAAGGTGCCCATTGTTTTGGCAATTGCACAATGAAACAGGACTTGGTCCTTATATACCATAGCAAGGTGCTCCTGTCTCAGTTGGTCTAGTGGTTGCTGCATTGCCAGACGGAGCATCTGAGGCTGTCCTGTACTTACTTTGTTCTGGTAGCAGGTGGCAGTTGCCCCTGTCCAGTTGGCAGCTGCTTATGGCTGCGCTGCAGTAGCTGTTCTACCACAGCCCGAAGTGCTTTCTAAGACCCAGGCAGACGAGGTTCTTTGGGTAAATCTGATATCTTTTATTAGACCAACTCAAATAGTTGGAAAAATTCTTTGCAAGCTTTTGGGTATAAATACCCTCCATCAGGCTGAGGAAGCATTAGCAGTTGGTGTGTGCTCTTCCTGATTGGAACCAAGACCCAAGTACCTGCTGAAAGGACCCCCACACTTGCCACGTGAGCTGCCTTCTGGCTGCTGGACAGGGTCAGAAGCCTTCCTCCATCAGTAACAGCTTGGGGTGTGGACACACTCAAAGTTTTGCCAGCAGAATAGGAGTATAGGTGAGCCTGGAGTTTGGATTTGGATGATTTATTTTTATTCTAGTAATATTTCAAGGCTCCGAGTGAATTCCATTGTGCTGTACCTACCCATAGCAGAGAACAATTGGTATGCCAAGGAGTGGGTAAATGAGATGCATTGAATTGTAAAGGAGGAGGTTAAAGAGATTGTTTTTAAAATCCCAGTGCAGGTCAGTGATGGGAGGGACCAGAACCCCAATCTCCTGAGTCCTAGCCAGTTCAGTGACCTGTCTGCTGGGCCATGCCAGCATCTGTTAAATTTCTATAAAGATATGCTGACTTCAGCTGATGCTGTGGCCCATGGCATTTCCTGCCAGATTGTAATGATTCTTAGCTTTGATACTTTATGTTAATAGCAACTAAAGCAGTGGTCACCAACCAGTGGATCTCAATCCACTGGTAGATCTTGGAGCCTCTTGGAGTTGATCCAAGGCTGGGGTTGGGGACTGAGTGCCCACGTGCATGCATGAGCGTGCCCCAACCCAGCAGGTCAGTCCATGGGGGAAGGAAGGGGCAGGGGCTAGATCGAGGCCCCTCATGGTGAGGGACAGTGCTGTAGAGGTAGGAGCAGGGGTAAGCTGAGTGGGGCCCTGGGCGGGTGGGACTTACCTGCTGGGGAGGTGCACACCCAAATATTTTTTTCTCTGCCTCAATCTCCACCCCCACCCTTCCCTCCCCACAGACTTACCTGCTGGGGGGGTGGCGGTGCACGGTAGATCTTGGGTTGCTTTTAAATGCCAAAGGTGATCTCCTACTTAAAAACCTTGGAGACCACTGAACTAGAGTTTCCTACAGGTGCACACCAATACTTTTTAATAATTACAAATAAAAAGAAGATGATCTGATCATATTTATAGCTAGTGACAGATTTATTTGATTAAGTACAGAAGACACCAATTCAGAACAACGTGGAGGAACAGCAGCCCTGGAGAGAGACAAGCTAATAGCAAATGAATACGACTAAAATTGCATGTTTTAGGCACGACTGATGTTCATGCATGAGATTCTGTAATATGCAGCCTCAGGGTCATATGGATAACAAGCTCAACCACTCGGCAATCAAAGGAAGGGAGTCATCATCCAAGTAATAGAAGATGCTTAGGTACCAAAGTGACTGAATAAAGAATTTGGATATACAGTGAAAAAATGATAGCATCAGACCTGATTCAAATTAGAGTGAGACTGCTATTTTCACAGCTTTTAAGAACCATTAGATCTTCTAGTCTGAACTCCTGCATAACAAGGTCATATAATTGCAACTAATTCTTCCTATTGTGAGCCCCAAAACTTGCATGTAGCCAAAGTACCATGTATCTTCCAGAAAGATGACTAGTGTTCCTTTGGGGACTTCAAGATGGACAACTACCACTTCTCTTGGTATTTTTTTCCAATGGTTAATCATTCCTGCCATTTAAAAAATGGGCAGTATTTCTAATACAGATTGATTTAATAGATTTCGTAGACATTAGGGCTAGAAGGGACCTCAGAAGATCATCGAGTCCAGCCCCCTGCCTCAGGGACAGGAAGTCAGCTAGGGTCAAAGGATCCCAGCAAGATAAGTGTCCATTGGTTGGACTCCAACTTCCAGCCATTGACTTGGATTCAATAAGAACTTAAATGTATATTATGGAATAGTATTAATGTTCCTTGACGTTGTTTCTCTGAGGTGGATATAATATTGAGCTAGAGGTCTTTAGAGGTTTAAATTTTACAAAAATGGAAGATCTGTTTAGATGTGAACTGGTAAGTGATGAATCAAACACAGGATATTAAAGACTGATTATCTAGTTGTCACCTCTCATGATTTTATTGAGAGCACCATGCTATTTGGTGATTTTTTTTTTTTCTTAATTCCTTTGGATCTGGAATAATGTACTTTTCTTATACTGGGGTCTACAAGACCAGGGACAATCCCACCAAAGAAGGTGAAGTCCTATTGTAAAACTAGACTCGAAATAGCAGAGGATTATATGAGTGGGAAGAATTATGTACTAAAGGCTTCATCATGTAGATCATTGGCTTGGTGAGAGCAGGTTCACAGCCCAGCAGAGGAACTGCAATAATCTCCTTTCCTCTTGGCTGCACACAGAGTACCAGGCTGAATCCCAGCCTCTACGTCCATGTGAGCTTCAGAGGGAAAAGGCTTTTCTGGAAGGAGAAGATCATGTTCCCCAGTGCTCAGAAGATGGCCAGTTCCGGTAATGTAATACCTCAGCCATCCTGAGACCCAGTCCTGCATTACAATTAGCCCTAATGGTGTGGCAAGGTGGGGAAGGGGGTACCCAGCCAGCTCTGCTCCAGACTCAGACTCTGTGACATGAGTTGATTCCTTCTTGTTTGGAGTGCTCTGTGGCTACAGTGTGCCAGATTTCATTCATACTATGCGGCCAGGGGTTCCTGAAACAATGGGGAAGGGCTCCATAGGATTACTATATTCTCACTCAGATGTGGGAGCTGTTACTACACTCTTACCCAGATGTGGTGGAGAAAGCAGGCAAATATCCTGTTTGTCCTCAGCAAGCATCTCTCCAGGATGGATGCAAACAGACAAAACCTAAACCGGTGTAATTTACACTGGTAAAATTACCTGATTCTTTCAAGGGCAATTTTACACTGGATTGGGCAAAGTTACCCTGGTTTGAGGTGTTTGTATCTTCCATTTGCACTTTTTTTTGCCACCAGAGTAATACTGATTTCACTAGTGTTAAATATTTTGTTTGTTTGTGATACAAGTTCATTACTGTATCTGGAGGCTTACACTCTACTGTGAGAAGGGGCGTTCTAGAAAAGCCTACAGTTAAAACCGAATGCATTATTAAAAGAGTGAATCTTGACTTGCCACAGCTTGTGGCTGTGCAGGCTTGTGCTTTAAGCTCGTGCTCATGTCTAATGTGAACGTATTGTGGATTATAGAAGAGATTGCTTTAGTAGGCACTGATCCAGCCAGCACTGAACTCAATACAAACTTGAGGGTCTTTTTTTAGAATTCAGAAGATCTCCCATCTGGTGGATTTGAATAGACTATAAACCATTTTCAGAATACTATTCTTTCTGAGGCTACTGCAGTCTTTGCATTAGGTTTTTGCCCTGCGAAACCTCCCTTTTACATGTATTTTTCATACAGATTTACAGTTGTGTTGCTAATAAAAAACCATGTGGTGTGTGTGCTTCCTTAGGACTGTGCAATGCAGTAAGAACAACCTTTCCTGCTGGTGTGTAGATGACAAGGGAGCTGAAGTACCAGGCAGTAAACAGAGTGGAGTTCCCATATCCTGTGAGTACCGTGGCTAGGGTTAGAAAACTCATTGAGAGCCCAGCTTGGCAACCAATGAAATCAAGCAGTTTTGCCACTGAAATCAGTGAAAGGAAAGGCAGGCTTCTTGTGACTTATCCATATTTCTGAATTAAGTGACTTAGAACCTGTACACACAAACTTTACTTATGTGAGCAGCCCCTATTTGTGCCGGTTACACCAATGTAATCAAGGGGCTGACTTGTGGCTTGGTGTAAGATCGTACCATTATTTTGTAAGCTCTTTGGAGCCAGAAACATTCACTGTCTGTAGAGCATCTGTGCCAGTGGTTCTCCACCTTTTTAGACTCAAAATACCCCTTGGAAAATGCCACTCTTTGCTTTCACTGCCTTTTGGTTCAATGTTGTTAACCTGGCCTCACTCCCTTGAGTCTGGGTTTTGAGGTCCAGATCATTAGTGGGTATAAATCCACATGGCTTCATTGATTCCAACAGGCCTATCCTAATTTACATTAGCTGATGATCTGGCCTTGAAAATGCAGAATAAAATTCATCTGATACCAGCGGGTTTTGCCTGATTTTAGGTAACACTGGGGGAGCATCTGCCTTGGAATATCAGCAGATTTGAATATCCCTTCCTGGCCCTGATAAAGAGGGAATTTAGTATGAAACTCATCCCAGGCTCCCTTTCAATAGCCCATCACCATCCCTGGCAAAGCTGCTGACTGACCAAATCTGTTCATTGGTTTGGCGCAGTTCATACAAGTCAACTGCCTTCTTGAAAAAACAAGCGATTATGGACCTCACAAGCACCTTCTTTTAACAATGCCTCTTTGGTATTGTAGGTCTATCCTTTTGTCAGCTGCAAAAGCAGCAGGTCTTGGTAAGTCGCTACATCAACAGCAGCACCATCTCCTACATCCCACAGTGCTTGGATTCGGGGGAGTTTGCTCCAGTGCAGTGTGACATGGGCCTGGGACAATGCTGGTGTGTGGACTCAGAAGGGATGGAGATTTATGGCACCAGGCAGACAGGGACGCCAACCCAATGTAAGTGGAGTTTAGCAAAGGGTGGGTTTGGTCTGTTCGGAATGAAGGGAATGGAAATCCTGAGAGGAGAAATGTTGAGTGCTGGAAACTTCAGCCCCAAGCTGTGGGGCTGGTCTCTAGGTGCTGGTCAGAAGATGAACACACAACAATACCGAAGTGTTTGCTTTCAGGTCCAGGGAGCTGTGAGATCCGAGACCGCCGTATTCTGCATGGAGTTGGGGACAGGAGTCCACCACAGTGTTCAGCAGATGGAGAATTTTTGCCTGTTCAGTGCAAATTTGTCAACATGACCAACATGATGGTCTTTGATCTTGTTCACAGTTATAACAGGTAAATCTGAAATTACATAGTAATTCTGCAGATGTCTCCAAGCCTTTATCTCCTTGCCCATTCCATTTTAACCTATTCCAGCCCTGTTTCCTTCGGGTGGATGGACCAGGGAAAGAATTTTATGTTGGTCAGCTACTACCTTAAAGCTAATAGACCCACGGGAGTTCATACAGTAAAGGCTAGTTTCTAAACTAGCCCTTGAGTCCTTTGAGCTAGACAACCTAATCAGAGTGTATTTACATATTTATGGTTATGACAGTGTAATTTGTGTTTGATTTAATTTCACTGCTTAACAGAGTAAAATAACCCGGAATGAAATAATAATAATAAATTTGGTGGGATCATCATGCTTGACAAGTAGTCATCAGTGGTTTAATGTTTAGTTGGAAAGAGCTATTGAGTGGAGTTCCCAAGTGATCTGTCGTGGATCAGGTATTGAGACTGAAGTGCTCTGGGTCAGAATACAAGGGGCTCGGGGGGGAAAGGACTTCACGGTGGGGGTCTACTACAGACCACCCAACCAGGGAGAAGAGCTGGACCAGGAATTCTCAAGTCAGCTCGCGGAGGCTGTTAAGTCAAAAGGTGTGGTCATCATGGGTGACCTAAACTATCCGGGCATTTGCTGGGAAGAGCAGTCAGCCAGCTCTGATCATTCACATAGGTTCCTAGTTGAGTTACAGGACCTCCATCTAACCCAGGAAGTGCACAGTCCCACCAGGGGAAATGCCTGGTCCTGGCCACGGGTGATGACCTGGTGAGGGGACTGCGGGTGCTCGACCACCTGGGCGATAGTGATCATCACCTATTGGGATTCACCATCCAGTGCAAGGTGGCAAAGACCTGCAGCAAGGCAGCAGCCCTGGACTACAGGAGGGCGGATTTCATTGAGCTAAGGAAGCTAGTTGGGAAGGCTCTGAGGTCCCCGAGGGGAGGGGAGTTGGGTGTCCAAGAAGAGTAGTTGTTCCTAAAGAAGATGAC